TTATTCACCAAATAGTTTGTACTTTAATGATTTTAATGTATTATTCTTTATTTTATTTTTCCAGATTTGTCAATGAAAACAATACTGAGCAACTGTGCAGAATGTTCTCCATCCCAGAAGGCGAAATACGATCACGTATTAAATTTATTGAAGGATAACTATGCATCCTTCTTCAATGAATTCATGCAGAAAACTGCTGCTAAAAAGGAGAAACATTAAAATACACCTTATTTAGTAACGTAATTAAATTTACAATTGAATGTAGTTTTACGTTTAGATAAATTGATATTGGCATATATTTTTTTAAAGTATGAAACTGTGTAGAATGTCTTGAAGGATTGGTAATACAGTATTTGAAATTAATTTCTGTAATTAATATTTATTTTTTGTCTATTTTGTGAAATTGTATGAATATAATTGGTTTCTATGCATTTAATTTGTTGTTTTTAATTGAACCTTAATGCAAGTGACTATTTGGCAACTTGCTATTCATATTGTAAAAGGATTAGGGTAGACGACTAATTTTTATTTTAATGTCCGTCTGATAGATTATTTAAAAACATTAGACACGTATTTTTTTTTTCTCACAGAAACGAATAGTTTCGAAGATATATTGATTTGAAATGTCGCGTGACGTCACTTCTCAGTACATTTTATACTAAGAAATGACGTTTTAGCCCCCACTCCTTAACTTTGATTCGTTTTATCTAAGTATTGTTTTATTATACGACAAAATAAAAAAATACGTGTCTAATATTTTTTCATTACCTAACTTGCGGACTAATTATATTTTTAATTTTCATACCCTGTCATCATCCCCATTATTTCTGTTTAAAATGCAGCAGGTTGCTATTAAGATTTCACAGGCATGCTAATGGAAAGATCATTGTCCTGTTTGAAAAGGTCTTCAACCTTTTTTTTATTTGAAGGGGTAAAACCATCGTATACTAGGGTCTCGTATACTCTGGTTGAGGTGAGATTACTCTCACTCGGTATGAGACTATTTTCGTTTTGTGTGGGAGAGCCATGCTTCGGCACGACACGGCCGGCTCGACCGGAGCGATATCAGGGCCTCGCAGAAAACTGACGTGAAACAACGCTTGCTTTGTGTTTCGTCGTGTGAGTGAGATTACCGGAGGCCCAATAATGTACTACGTCGTACATCTCACAATCTTAATGTGAAGAGTAAGAGTAAGAATTATAATGACTGCACGGTTGGAGCGGTGGCTGGGCAACCAACTGCCACGTAGGTACCTACCTAACGTGTAGCTGGTTCGATAATTCCCACATTTTCTTGATTTTCTTTTAATCAATTTTCTTGATAGACTATAGAAATGAACCTATAATGAAGACTTAATTTTTGTTTCATTTACAGAGTTTTTTCTTTTATGAAAATGAAATACTGATTATTGTATACCTGGGTATTAGGTATTAGTTATTATTATTTAGGTTTAGTACCTAGGTACTAAACACTAAATAAGTTGTTAATAAATAAATAATTATTACATTACATACCACTACGCCTTTATGCCCGGAGCGGTAGGAGAGGAGTGTAATTTTTTTTTAAACACCCATTAATACTTTTGCCAAACCCGGGAATCAAAGCTGAAACAGTCGCACTTGCGACCTTTCTGCCAACGAGGCAGTCAAAAATAATTATTCTAGTCCCCAAAATCCCCAAAAGGGCGGTAACGGACTTGTAACGCCTCTGGCGTTCCAGATGTCCATGGGCGACGCCGATTGCTTACCATCAGGTGACCCGTTTGTTCGTTTACCGGCTTATACCGACTTTGCAAGATATTTCTTTAATTAAACTCGATCGTCTGTTTCACTACTTACCTCAATACGTCATACCTACTTACATTCGACATTATTGCCAATACATTCTATTCTCTAACAAGTCAACTAGTAGCAAATTTACCGTTTTTGAATGGCAAACAGACCTATATACCTACTTATTAGTTACATTCAAAATTTGACGCAAGTGATACCAAGTTGACTGCTTCGTAGGCCGAGTGGTCGCAAGTGACGACTGACGGGCAAGGGGTCTAGGGTACGATTCCGAGGTCGGGCAAAGTAAAACGGGGCGGGCAAAGTACAACGGAGCTTATAAAAAAAACAAATCTCAGTAGTTGCACGGAGACTGGAATTGTGCCCGGTATATGGCAATAGGCTCACTCCCTATTACATGAGACTCATAACATAAATAGTGAAAAGTAGTTGTTACATTCTTTATACAGTGGCATTAAGTGCCGTAATGTGCACCTCTGCCTACCCCTTCTGGGATAAAATGCGTGATGTTATGTTATGATACCAAGTTCATCACCTCTGGCTAAGTTTTGGTTAGTCATGCTGTTGGATATTTTGGCGTATATTTAATATAAAATGTGTGAGTTAAGCTATCAGGATCTTACCTATCTAGAGTTGATAAAATAGGCCTTGTTACCGAAAAGTCAAACTAGTTCGATACTTGGATGAGCTAAAGTATTATTATGATTTTTTATCATTATGTTTATAGGCTCATTTTCTACCCATAGGTCCTATATACATAAACGCTTGTCTTTCTTTCCGAAAAACTAGGCTCCATTAAAAAAAAAAACAAACAAATAGGTCCTTAATATTCTTATGTGTCGTTAACACTTCGATAAGAGTTGATATTATATGTATTTCATTTTAATTTAGCTCATCTAACGGGTTCATTGATTCACATTTCACGGTTATTATGTTAATGTTTATGTGCAACATGTTTTGTGTTTATCCAAAAATCAGCTGAAGGTCCTCAATAGCCTATAAGTGCACACTCCTGAGCAAAGCCTCTTCTCACACGGAGGTTTGAGCATTAATCACCACGCTTGCTCCTTGCGGGTTGGCGATTTCAAACTTATAATTAGATATTATAAGTCCAGGTTTCCTCGCGATGTTTTTCCTTCATCGTTTGTCAGTGGTGTCTAAATATTCTTAGAAGGTACATGTAACTCGGAAAATCTCACATTGGCACTTGCTGTTGATAGGTTTCGAACCCTCATGTATGAGAAGCGGGCGTATTAACCTCCGAACCATCACGACATCAGACGATACCCATTATAAAATTATGACGTCAAAATTTCCTTTTTAACATAATACAATAAATCGTTCATTCACTAGTCCCAAGCACAACTCTTGTGTACAAAGTATTAGGATCAATTTCTGGGTCAGAAATATCTGGTTATTTGATTCACTACTTCTTACATAAAGTTCTGCGAATTTTAATGCGAAATATGAATTAAAAATAAGGAAAAAGCTGCAAATTAGCAACCTACTTTCAGTTTCTTCGTTGAATTTGTCTTTGATGAACTTAAGACACGGATGCGTTGAGATTACAATCGGCTGATCTGGAAGTCATTGGGGAAGGTCTGTGTTTAGCAGTGGACGATATCGTGGAGGACAATGGTCAATGAGATTAGGTAACTTTCGTGAAAAACACTACATTTAAAAATTGTGCACATGGTGGTAGACACGTATGTCGACTGAGCATCAGCCTCCTGTCTTACTAATCGTAAGGAAATTTATTGCATTCTTTCATTATGAGAGTAATACAACACCTGGTACCTACCACTATAATTATATCCTATACAATCACTTGACTGCACCCATCTTCCAACTAAAATTTTGGTATAATTTTTTTCAATTTTGAAATTAAGTACAAGATTATAATAACAAAATTATTCTATTAAAAAGAACGAGACCCGGTTTCCTTGGTTATTATTTACGTACTTTTACTACACTTTTGAACACTTTACACCTGAGTTCTTCAGTATACTAATATGTAACTTATTCTTAATAGTATATCGTCTGGCTTTGTTGGTAATTACTTACATTAAGACTTTAAACGGAATCACTTAAATTTATTCGAGCTTCACTGTATTACATACACATTCTTCCTACTTTAAAGTAGGAAGAATCTTACTATTAATAGTAGGAACTTCGTAGTTTAGTGTATATTGTGTGTGTCCACATGTGAGATGCTTAGAAACTATAGAATTCCCGGTCTTTGAAAATAAACGTCCACACACATAAGGACACACGGCAAGGCTCCATTCGTATAAAGATTATATGGCCCTCCTGCCGCGATGTTTACGATTATGTCACCAAACCGGGGTTCATAAGATGTTATTGACATTGCATCCCAAACCAGTTCTCTCAGAATCGATGTTTTTATCTCCAAACACTCGGAAGGACTTTATTTTTTCTTAATCTTTTAACACACAGTTATAATAACGGGTTTAGAAACAAAGGATAACGGTTTTACAGTTAGCCTGCCAAGTTCGACTTGCGAAGCCTATAATGTTTTACCTTTAGATTAGGAAAGACTTAAAATGGTAATGGTAGAAAATGGAAATTCTATGTAATCTCCTATAAAGAGCAAAGGATTAGTCGTAAAGTAAGTTTCGCGTTATAAATTGTGTCAAGTCTATTGTAATTTACGCTCGACAATAATAGCTACATACCTACCTACATAGGTATCGACAATGTACGTCAGATGCCTCATAAATTATGCCTCTGATCTTAAGGCTGTGTAATGAATTAATTATATTGTCATAACCAGTAGTTACAACAATAACTAGCATAACAACTAAATACCTATAGCAAGAACCCATTTTTGCCTTGTATTCTGAACATTGAAATACAGTAATTAATTATATTACACGCCAATATTATACAACATTAAGAAGAAATACAAAATTTGCATAACATAAGATACTACTGTGATTCAGCCAAAATGTCCTATCGATAAAGACTACGAAAGCTGGTGAACAAATATTGGCAACTCGCAGCGAGTTGCCAATATTTGTTCACCAGCTTTAATTCAGAAGCCTTACAATTATAAAAAATCTTCAAAAGACAGAGAAACGTGTAAAACAAACAATACAATGCTACAAGGTGAACATAACGAGATCAAAGCCATGCAATGAATATCATTACCGGTGGCGGGCGCACTGCTTTCTTCGTCGCTTAGTATGCGGCCCGTTACATCGACCCCAAGCCGACAGGTTTGAGAACAGTTCGCACCCCGCCGGGCAGGCCGTGGGGATCACGAACCATGGGTCCACAATCAACCAAACCTGGCATTGCGACAGTAGACGCCGCAAGAGGAGCACTTGCACAACTTTCTTTCGGTAAGTATTTTTCTATAAAAGCTTCTTAGAAAGTGCTGTGAAAGTGAGCGGATGTATTAGTTTGTTCATAGAAACGCGTTACTTCTGCTGCATGTTTTCCTTGCTTTAGATTCCGGCATGTAGTGCACGTTTTTTTTTCGTTGTCGCTGCTTTGTTTATTGATATTGTTTTTGTGGTGTTAGTAGCAGTTTCTTATTAAATCTAATAGAGATATTAAATTTAAATGCGATATCATCATTACAAATGAATTGCAATTGGAATCGTTAACAGTTTAACCTTTGTAAACGATCGATTATAACAACATTAAATTCTTTATCGAGTAACTTCATCATTCCGTTTTATGGAACGTGTAGCGTCAATCAGGATTTTCTGAGGAATAAATCGTCTTGCATACTAAGTGACTCACGTGAATCCTTCTATTTTTACCGGTACATGTGCGTGAAAGTAGAATAAAGACCGCAAGTATTGTGTAGCCTTGACATTGTACCAAGCTATTGTTGTTTTAACTTTCTTCGATCTCGATTCGTTATTTACTTTAAGCGTATCACGTAGGTAGTTGACGTTTGGAGAACAAAAATATATGCTCCTTACAACGGAAACATTGTATACCATATTATACCAATCAGAAATTAATTAAATTGAGGATTATCATCACGACAATCAATTACGACCATACATATGTAAATAGCATGATGACTTTATGATATCTATCTACATATAGTATGTCAATGACTCCTAGCATATAATCACAGATGATCTTATCAAATTAGATTTATATTCTCATCATCGCTGGAAATCCCCCTTCCTAAGTGATACTTTAATTTACATGCAACCTTATTAATTTTAACACAATTTTCTTTCTACCAGGTAACCATAAACATGAGGAGCTGGCTGTTATGTCTGTGTGTGCTGACGGTGGTGGTGTCATGCTACTCCCAAGCTAATCGCTACGAGAACTTCAACCCTGATGCCATCGTACAAAACGACAGGATTCTGCTAGCTTACTACAAGTGTGTGATGGACAAAGGACCTTGCACGAGAGACGGCAAGAATTTCAAACGTAAGTAATTTTCGATACTACTATTTTGTGATGATGAGATGATACTTCGCAAATATAGGACACAGCCTAACTATTTAACTTAATAAGATTTTTAGCCAGAAATTAGTATAATTTAATTATGATTCTGCTTATTATATCTGCGAAAAGTTACAGACAGAATGACATTTTCATTCTAAAATAGTTGTGATAGGGATGTAATTACCACAGCAGATAATTCTTTCTTAATCATCATGAGAGTCATTAACTTAAACGTCTCTCTATTATTTTTTACATGCTAGTTACCTAATATCCATTGCTGGTAACTCTATGTGCTAAGAATATATAGCTATAACATTGAATTACAAAATCCATTTATAAACCAAAATAAAATTCTGCTATTTCTTAAAGTAAATATATGAACTCTTTCTTCTTGTGAACTTCGAAAAATAGCTTAGAAAAATAGTTACTTGTTTCGCTAAAAAGTATCTACACTAAGAGTTTACTTTAACCAATACTAGCAACGCAGATAAAGCTAATCTGATCCTTACTATCTGTTACATTCATAGTGAACAATTCACAAAGCGTATGCTCCTTCTCATTTACAGCCATTTCTATGCTAAAGAAAAGTCTTCGCTCTTTCGATAGTATCTTTACATGTTTCTGGAAAACTTTACAATAATAACAAATTCTGCTCACGGAAGAAACCACAATCTGTATTAAATAAAACATTATTGTCTTGCTTCATTATTTAGCTCAAAGTATATGTTTACATTTCATTTACTACAAAAAATAGAAGTAAATCTAATACTATGACTAATTGTTTTGTTAAATCGAATTAATTATTTCTTGTATTTGTAGCTTTTAGAATTATCTTAAGGGTGTATCTATATAGAAAGTGGTATAATTTATATCTCTTTTCATTATTATCACCAAAAATGATTATAGCTTCATTACTTTTCAAACAACTATCCAAGTTACCAGTACTCTTATTATTATCTCTTACGATAAGATGACAACAATTACAAAATTGTCTCTCTCCCCGAAGGACTTGAGTAAACAAAAACTGTATACCAGTTTCGACATTACAAATGATAAAATAATCACTGTAACATTAATAAAACTCAATATTTTGTTCTAGGTGTTCTACCAGAGACGCTGGCCACCGCGTGCGGGCGCTGCAACCCTAAACAGAAGACGATCGTGCGCAAGCTTCTCCTGGGCATCAGATCCAAGAGCGAACCTCGTTTCCTAGAACTCTTGGACAAATACAACCCTGACCGCTCCAACAGAGATGCTCTATACGCCTTCCTTGTAACCGGTGCTTAAGACCAAAATCAAAGCTTAGGAGCATGTGATGGAGTTTTCGACGCGTGATACCCATTAATCATCATCAACGTCATCTCATGGTCATCATCATCCACTCACCATCCCCCAATGATTTCCAGATGGGCCGAATTACTTAGACCCATTAATAGCTGATAAAAATTATCTTCTATGAGTATAGGTCTAGAGACAATCCCGGTCCTATCACACTATAGATTCATATTGCATCTCTGTCATATAAATGAAAATAAATCCCACTTTACGGTATCTAGTTAGACATTTACAAAAGTAACGTTACTTATCTTAAGGAGTTAATATCAAACGTAAATCAATGACTAATTTGATCAGTTTGTACTCAATCTGTTCAGAGACTAGTTTTGTGTATACCGTTAGGTTATAAAAAATATTTATTAAATGATTGACAGTATTGTTAATTAATATTTGAAATCTTGAAGCGGTTTAAAATCGTACTTCGCTATCTGCGACTGCTGTATTTGATTCTTTAAATGGATTTTATTCTTACAAATCCCGTTAAATTATTAAGCAAAGCATTTATAATTTATTCAAATTGATTTCAATTAGTTTAAGGCTTAGATTAAGGCATTAAAGATATTTTACGACTTTTGGTGGTTTCAATCAGACAACTCTATTTATCACATTAAGCATCACAGAACGCTGCCATTAATTGCAGGCTAGTTTCGTCATTGAATATGCAGCAAAACAATCTTCATTGAACCGATAATTATCGTGGTAATATGCCCATGCATAATTACTACCGACATATTTGCCATACTGTGGTCTGTTCTAAGAAATAAGGTATTTTATAAGTTAGTATAAATATAGGACAGGTCGCCGAGTAAAGCACTCAGCTGTTAGACAGTGATCGAGATTCACCTATCAGTGTAAGGAGACCAGTAATCATGAAGGTAGCGCTACTCACACTCTGCTTCGCCCTTGGAGTCCTCGCACAGGATATGTACGAGAATGCCAACGACAACTTTGACATCTCTGAGGTTCTGGGCAATGAGAGGCTCCTCAACTCCTATGCCAAGTGCCTGCTTAACAAGGGACCTTGCACTCCAGAAGTAAAGCAAGTTAAAGGTGAGTGTAATACAAAGTTTACAAGAAAAATCCTAACATTTATTGAAACTAAGGTACATTAACATTAACAAAGTTCATAAATTACGAGTACAACTTATAACACAATCCCAAAACTGTTAACTAACTAATAAATCAAAGTTCAAATTGTCATTTGTTTACATAAATTGCGTCGACATGGTTCTTATCTAAGACTTTTCTAAAAGTTGCAAAAGAGACCCATCCCTCGGAATGTAATAGCTTTGCTTCTTCCCATAGCTCATTGAAGCTTTGATCTGTAAATGATTCTCCAGCAGCCTCAAACACCTTTCTTACTACTTCTGCGGAACGTTTGGCGTACATATCTCGGTGACTGACGCCAAGAAGAGAAAAAATACTCGGACACAAACATGCCCGTGCGTCTGTTTCGTCACTGAGAAATACGGTGTGGGCCCTACAATAACGAGGTGGTACCACAGGAAAGCTTCTGTCAAAATACCTTCCTGCTGGTAAACCAGCCCGAGTGTTGTTCTCGGGTGCCTTTTGTCCAGGTTTCATCATCTCCTCATACGTCGTAGAATAGTACAAGCATTCCTTAGAAGTATCTGGTATTTTAGGCAATAGCGGTAATGGTTCTATATGATTAATTACTCGAACAAAAGTTTTATACTTTATTTGAGTGCCGTTAAATGCGTCCCACGACTCTAAAAGAGGTTCCATCAGAGACGGTTCGATCTTAATATATTTTCTCATACAAAACTCATAAACTGTTTCTTTTGAAAGCCAACCTGAATTAGTTCCATCAAGATATTTTAATTGTAAATAAAAACTGTGAAAGAATTGTGCATCCAAATTTTTAGATAAACCTCTTCGTACATTATTTAAGTGCTTCAGGCATTTTAAATAAAATAGTCTTCCGGGATTCGGAGGGCAAGTTGTTATGACTTCTGAAATGTTACTAGATGGTTTTAATTTTCCAAACGTAAAATCTGTCGGCACATTATCAATGTTCCTATTTGGCGAACTAGGCAAACCAAGATGTGCATCTTTCACATGCTTAAAGTCGGCTAGTACGGAATTTATATGAGAACAGGAAGAGTTTCCTAGTATGACTCTTTCGTCGGTCATACAGCATTTTGTATGTCTACCTAAATGGTCAACATTGTTTTTCATACCAAAACAAGAGTTAGGATCAAAGGGCGGTGAGCAATAATTGCGAGTCGTTCGATAACTTGGTTGTTTGGACTCTGGTAGGTCAGGTAGGGGAACTTTTGGCAATATAACATCGTATAAACGTTCGTCTACCTTAGTTTTCTTCCCCATAGTGGTAGTTAGAATGTTGCATCCTTTGGGTAACATAGGAGTTTGATCAGCAACCGCTCCAACACGTGACTTCCAATAAGATCTATATACTGTACATTTTAAGTCTTCTACAAGGTCTTGGTATTTACTAGTGCTAGGTGGATTAATAAGTTCCCCACCAGTAGAATGAATACCTGCATGACGCATGTCTTTATGCTTTGGAGGTTTTAGTTTGATATCTTTTATGGGAATAATCGCATCACCAATGAGGGCGTCGACTTCGTCTTTCAATAAGTAACATTGAAGGTGTTTGGCAACGGATTCGTTGTGTTGAGCTGTGGGTTTACCAGCAGCAGCTATATTTGGACTCCTCTCATAAAATAATCCCGCATTTCCTTTACCCCCATGGATACACGGAACATTTCTTAACATTATTGCTAATAAATAATTCCTACAAATAATTATTTAAATATTTATCAAACAACAACTTGAAACAATGACGTGAACTGAGTTTTTATTTCTTTTTCTTTGATATCATTGCTTCTGACACTTGAGTTTAAGGTGTTATTGAAAATCTAAAAAGAATGAGGTTGTGACAAGGCTGTGCAGAGTATTTTATTCTGAAAATGAATGGGACTATAATTTTGTGGTTATCAGATATCGCTAAATAATCAAATACTATATTGAGTGACAGGCCTTAGTTCTTCCTAACGCCTCTTTAGTAGCGATTTCATAAAATAGGCCACGCGATAAACCATATTGTTTAATATAGTTTGCATAAAGGGAATCAATTTCGTATTTACGGCTTTTAGAGTTAAAAGTAGAAAGAAATACGATAGGTTATTTAGGAATATGATTGATACAAAATATGATATGTTGTTTTATGTTCCGACAAACTAGCAGTTCAGCATGTGATATAATTTTATGTACTAATAATCGCTCATTAACTTAAAAATAATAAAAATACGCATTATGTTAAACATTCCTTTAATTTTCTCTTTAAGATAAACTGCCGGAAGCTCTGGAAACTCGGTGTGCAAAATGTACGGATAAACAAAAGCAAATGGGTAAGACTTTGGCTCAAGAAGTGAAGAAAAATCATCCCGACATCTGGAAGCAACTGGTGGCAATGTACGACCCTGAAGGCAAATACCAACAAGCGTGGAAGGACTTCCTCCAAGAATAAAACCGTATATGAAAATAAATACACCATAAACATTCCTATCAATTTTAAAATTAAAATTACAAATATTTTTTGTCTAAATTAATACAAATAATTAGAAAATAAAGCAATATATTACAAATATTGATGGTTAACTTTTGGTTTCTTTTCACTTATGCTCGGTATAGTTTTCCATCGCCTGTCGAAATGATTCGAAACAGACCCAGCCTTCTGAATGATGTTTTTTAGCTTCTTCCCAAATCCTATTGAAACCTTCATCTGTAAACTTTTCACCAGACGCCTCAAAAACTCTTCTAACGACATCTGGTTCTCTTTTTTGGAACATATCACGATGTGAGACAAAGAAATGCGTCAACACGCTTGGTGACAAACACGCTTTAGCATCAGACTCTTGCGGAAGACAAATTATATCTGCTTTACTCATTCTATCAGGGGTTATGGGGTAATTCAAATCAAAATATCGACCTGAGGGTAAGCCAGCCATTCGTCTAGTATCCACCGGCTGCCCTGGTTTTACCATTTCAGAATAAGTAGTTCGAAAATCAAGACAGTCTTCTGATATGTCAGGTATTTTAGGGACATCAGGAAGAGGTTCTCTATAATCAAAAATTTGAACTAATATTTCATACTTAATTTTAGAACCGTCAAATGCTCCCCATGTTGATAAAAGAGGCTCTATCAGGTGATGATCGAATCGAATTAGATGGGTTCCACATAATCTATACACTATTTCTTTGGGTATCCAGCCAATTTTTTCTTTATCAAAATATTTAAGTTCAAAGTAAAACTTGCGATAAAAACTTGGTAGTATCCTTTTAGACAAGCCCTTTCGTACGGTATTCAGATGCTTAAAACACGATCTAAAAAAATCCAATCCTTTGTTTATCTCACAGAAAGTAAGACATTCTGGTAAGTTATCGGAAGGAGAGACCTTACCAAAAGCGTGGTCTTTGGGAACTGCAGTAATGTTTTTGTTCGGAGCTAGTACCTGGCCCATTCTTGCATTATGAGTATCTAAGTAATTTGCTTCGATTGAGTTGAGTATAAACCTATGTGCTGTTCCGTTCATAATTGCATCATCAGTAAGACAACACCGAGCATATATACCACGTTTGTCTATACAGGAACGGTGTCCGTATGTTAAGTCTTTGTTAAAAGGGGGTGCACAATATTTACGATCTATCTGGACGCCAGCCTGTTTTGAGTGAGGTGTTTTGTCAGGTATTGGGTCTTTCGGGAATAAAAACTCGTATAGTGGCTGTGTAGTATCCAATTTTTTGCCATACGTTGTTCCTTCGATATCATACCCCGCCGGAAACATTGGAACTGGATCTTTCACTCTTCCAAGTGGTTTGTTCCAGTACGAAGTATAAGAAGTTTCTTTTAAATCATCTACTATGCTTTGAAATTTTGTTTTGGTGGGTGGATTAATAAGAGCATGAACTTGCCCACAGAGGCCCCCATGCCGCTTATCTAAGGGTATTGGATGACGTAATGGTGGGAGAGGAGGCGGTTTAGGTGTTGGTATGATCGCGTCACTCAATAGAGCGTCAACTTCATCTTTGAGCAGATAATGTTGCAAAGCGTCTTTCACACCCTCATCTGCCTGAGCCGATGGAACACCAGCAGCAAATACCCTCGAATCCCGTTCTATAAACTTCCCAAGATTTCCTTTACCCCCTGTGGTAATAGGTTTAGGACATTCTTTAGGCATTATAAGTACGTTTCACTAAAACATAACTTTACTAACAAAAATATTGTTCACAAAAAATGTTGTAAGCTGTTTATGTCATCTTGACATTGTTTTATTTGTTTTTTAAATTAAATTGACTGAAATAGTTTGTTCATTCATAGACACACTCTTTGTGATGATTAAGGAAAACCTTACTTAAATGTAAATGGGACATGCAGGAAGTATTATGAGGAATAAGGTGTTTCTGCCTTCATTAAAACCAAGGGTCGGCGGCAAGTGAGCATGAATCATATGCGTATCACTGACGTTGTATCTGATAATGCACCTATTACCAATGTACTCACGTCTTGTAGATCGTAATAATCACTTCTGTTTGTTCTGTGCGCACTTATGGACGATGACAAACAAGGCTTTATATACAACTAGGTATTTCACTTCCTCCGCAGTTGTGTTTCTCTCACCTGGCTGGACATATTTCACAGGTAGATATTGTTTATCTATAAAAATATCACACCCTATAACAACTTCTTCCCTCTTATTTTTCAGTTAATTTTTTACAATTGTTAGTAATAAATAGTTTAATTTATACATGAAATAGGTGTAAATAAACAGTCTACAAATAAATATTGCTTCTGTTATCGTACCAGTAAGATCATGACGGATATCCCGCAATTTTCCGTAATTATTTTGAAAGTGAATTAGAGAGTAACATTACAGGTTTAGTGTTATATAAACAACCGTAAAACTGGACAAGGCGTAACTGTGCCTATGACTATGCACAACTATGTTTATTGCTTATACAGGTAGGTATTATAATTTAGTTGCTTTTGATACTATTGATATACCTAATCGATACCAAAACTAATGACGTTACCCGTGATCTGGTACTGAATATTATGTTAAGATTAGTAAAAATTATGATGGGTATAAAAATGCACACATTACTCATTCATCTTTAATACTGAGGATATATTTGAAGCACTCGAAGCACTAAACATATTTATTAGTAACAAGCCACTATGTCATATAAACTAATGGTCCTATCAAAAACTTTGATTATAAGTCGATTTCTTCTTTGTAATTTCAGTTCATCATGAAGGCTGACTGTGTGTTAATTATGACATTAATGGCAGTGGTGGCAGCTGACTTCTACAACTCCAAGTACGACAGTTTTGATGTTCAGCCCTTATTGGAGAATGATAGGATACTACTGAGCTACACTAAATGTTTCCTAGACCAAGGGCCTTGTACTCCTGACGCCAAAGATTTCAAAAGTAAGTTTTGAAAATCAACAAAATAAGTAGTTTGCATTTTTTCCATTCCTACTTATTTGTTTGAATGTCAAGATAATAATGACCTACCTGTATGATGTGGCCTACTTTGTCATATTTAAATTACAAGACTTACGTATATCTTCATTTTCAAGTTTCCTAATATATAGGTTCTCTATCTACTTGGAGTTAATTATAGAGAAACAGGGATATGCTGAAAAACTTTAAGAGCTAATGTTTTATACTTAATTTCTACTTATTGTTGTTTACAGAAATAATACCCGAAGCTTTAGAAACTACATGTGGTAAATGCAGTCCAAAGCAGAAACAGTTAATAAAAAAGGTAATCAAGGCTGTGATAGCTAAACACCCTGAGGCCTGGGAACAACTCAGTGATAAATACGACAAGGACAAAAAGTATAAAGACTCCTTCGACAAATTCTTAGCCGAACAAGAATAAACGTAATGTAGTTATTGTAAATTGTACAGGCGCCTTATCATTTGTGCAGGTATTTTACTATTGTGTATAATATTTTGATGATGAAGCTTGATTTTATAGAAAGTTGTTTATTTATTTATTACATGGATGCTTTAATAGATTGTAATTCGAATAAGATTGTTCTAATAAATAATAACGTAATGTCAATGAATTGAAATAAAGGCACATAATAAAAAATAATTTATTTTCAATAAACTCCAATCGAATATAACTTTGGTAACTGCGTTCCTGAACACAATTTACATTTCCACCACCTATTCACCTGTTAGGTGAACTCTCTCCACTTTCATCATCACCGTCTTAATGTCGCTTGACGGCATCAAGCTGGGTTTTGTACCTCTCCTGATAGATATTCTCAGGGTCATACTTTCCTGATAACTCCTGCCACAAGTCTGGGCGTTTGTTCACCAAGTGCCTGATGACCTTGTCCGAGCTCTTCTTTTGTTTTTCAGTACATTTGCTACACTCATGTTCTAAGGCGTCAGGGAGAGTTTCTTTGAGGGCTTTCCCATCAGGAGTGCAACGTCCTCTGTCGAGCAAGCAGTCCACGTACGCTTTCAGTAGACGCTGGGACTCTAAGATCTCGTCTACGTTGATGTTGTCCCACTTGTCAGTGTAGGTGGAGGCAGGCCTAGCCCAAGCAACTGCCACCACACATAAAGCGAGTACGATGATTAGTTTCATTTTGTATCTGGAAGAGAAAGAAAAACATTTCACTATATCTGTTTTGATAAAGCTTCAAATCAATTAGGTCTACGCCTCATTCCATTTAGGAACGCCGTTTCTATTTTTACGAAACATCACATAATTCCCAAATTGTTTCACCAGAATTCCGATGCAATTCTTTTTTCAAACTTTATTAATCTCCACTCGTACCTAAGCAATATCAAGAATCGATAACTTTTCCACAAACGTATTACAAAATGCAGTGACAATGGCGAAGTGAGATGGCTGCCGGTAATTGTTCGCCGGCACACCTAGGTACCTACCTATGTTATTAATTAGTAAGATTACCTATTGTCTCATTGTTACCACGATAATCGTACGATTGTTGTGATTCGTACGTCTGTGTGTGTACGTGTTTCCTTTTAACACAAATTTTGTTAGGCTACTATATAGGTCAAATTGTAAAGGTGTATAGGAGCTGTTTGATTTATTGGCATTTATTTTGTTCCCATGTTTTTATCATATCAATTTACTACCCCATAAATTGGCAAAGCTAATCCGAGAAATTTTACATTTACAGACACACATTCAAACAAACAAACAAAGTCTATGTACCTCTATGTAAGGTATTTACAATAAATAACCTTATATGTTTGACATAAAAGTGTTCTGACATAAGACACAAGAGTGTGTTTTGACATAAGACTGACTCGTTGGCCGAGTGGTCGCAAGCGCGATTGCCGGGCAAGAGGTCTCGGGTTCGATTCCCGGGTCGGAAAAAGTATTACTGGGCTTTTAAATAAATCGCAGTAATAGCACGGAGTCTGGAATTGTGCCCGGTATATGACAATAGGCTCACTCCCTATTACATGGGACTCATAACATAAATAGTGAAAAATCGGCGTTACATTGTATAGTGGCATTAAGTGCCGTAATATGCAACTCTGCCTACCACTTTGGGGTAAAAAGATGTGATGTTATGTTATAAAAATGATCAATGAGCGACACTTACAACAAGTGAAGTCAGTAAATAAACAGCATCGTGTAAGTGTCGTGTAAACAGAAACCTGCGACTGTAAACATAAACTCATGTATGCATAATGCAGCGACTAGCATTAATACCAGATCGGAGTATTGCAATGCTATCAATTATGCAGGATCGTACCTATAGCCGTAATCCATATATCCAAGTGTTACTTGAGAATTATGTTAATTCTAAAGTTACATTTATGGTACAGGCAAACGAACCGATGGATCACCTGATGGTAAGCAATCGCCGTCACTAAGTGCATTTGCCGAACTTTTGAGGGTTAGAAATATTTGGAAGGGGGAATGGGCCTCATACGTAGGTAAACATAATTAAAAAATAATGTTATATTGGTTAATAACATGACTTGGCATTTTTTGTTATAGTGACTTAGCCCCCGGTCGGGCATCAGCCCTAGTAAGTCCCATTTGTGGTGGTCTAATGGTTCTTTGAGATTCTGGTTCTGGCAGTAGAAGTAGACCTTTAGTGGCAATACTCAATCGTTCCTATGGACTTAGGACCTATTATAAGAGTATACAACCTACTCCCAAACACTAAAAAAGGTCAAAAGCAATTTGTTGTTTTTTCAACCGACTTTAAAAAAAGGAGAAGGTTCTCAATTCGACTGTATGTTTTTTTTTATGTTTGTTACTCGATTACACGAAGACGCCTGTACCGATTTTAAACATTCTTTTTTTTGTTGCACAGGGTAGGTTTGTCATTTAGTTTTTTATAAAATATCTGGGAGTACCTATATAGAGGGTGTAAACCTGACACTCTCGAAACACTGACAAAAATAAATAGTTTTTACAATTTTAATTGTTTTTGTTTTCCTGTTATTTATGCAACGTCATCCTTGAGCAGTTGACAACTATTGTTGCATAAAAGAAACATTTAATTCCTTACTTTTTATGGAATATAAAACTTGTTTTTCACCATCACCTGTCGTCGATAGTCGGGAACGTTTCGTTTACACCCCGTATAGCATTTTATCATACTCAAGAATCTACATAACATCATAACATCACGCCTTTTATCCCCGAAGAGGTAGGCAGAGGTGCACATTATGCCACTGTACAATGTCCCACTTTTCACTATTTATGTTATGAGTCCCATGTAATAGGGGGTGAGCCTATTGCTATATACCGGGCACAATTCCAAATTCCGTGCTACTACTGAGAATTTTTTAAAAGCCCAGTAATAATTTGCCAGACCCGGGAATTGAACCCGAGACCCCTTTCCCAGCAGTCGCACTTGCGACCACTCGGCCAACGAGGCAGTCAAGAAGAATCACTCAAGCACTCAAGAATCTACTAGATTGTAAGAAAAACAAAAAAGTAATTGTTTGAATAACCGATGCTATATTAAAAGATTCAAGACAGAATGAAAAACCTATATCAAGAAAACAGTTGGTTATTATTTTAAGCGTTGACTAATAGAAGTCAACCTACGAGTATTTAACTCTATTGGTTAACAAGAACTAGATAATTGATACTTTAATCAGCAACTTGAAGAATTGTTTCTGTTTTCCTGGTTGTTAGGCAAGAAAATAGATGGCAAATTGTAAATTTCCTAGATATTTCTAATAATGGTTTCTTTGATTTAAGGGTGAAGGGAAAGAACATTGGTCTCATGCCTGCGGACCTCTCGATTGCATCAGAGTCAGCAGTAATATGAAGAGTTGAAAATTAAGCTCAGTGGCATGGTATTAGAGATCAATGCATTATTGCAGTAGCTAACGACTGTAGGCAGATGATGTCAATGATAGTAAAATTAGATACATTCACAGTCACAACAACCAATGTTACATTTACGTAATCCTATCATATATATACACCATGTTTTTAAATTTAATTTAAATTGGTATTCGATTTTAGGAAGTATTGATATCGTAACTAAGAGTTCATATTGATTGAAGTTCAAATGCATACAGTAATCTGCCAGAGGGTGATAAAGATTTTACCTAAACGATTCCAGAACGTATGTCAAGTTCTGTGTTAAAAAGACACTAGTTATTGATTCATTGTAATGTCACTATAAACAATACTAAACTAACACATCACATCACGTATAGAAGCAAGGGAAGAGAGTGAAAGTTTATATGATGTCAGAAACATAGATTGACTTAACGATGGAGCTCATAGGCGCTTTTTTCACCAGGTCCTAATACATAGAAGATAGAATGTGGTTCAAGACCTTTAACTTTAGCTTCGACATCAAAAACTTCGTCTAAATCTCAGAGTCAGTAGTCCCTGTAGTACTATCATTTAAACACGAGTTATTGGGTACTTACCAACTGGTCAAATTCATTACTTTTTTTCGAACTATTTAAACAATTTTTATGAATTTTGTACGAGATTGTTTATTGTGACGTCACGTTTTTAGCGTAAATCAGCATACTTGAAAAATGTACTGGGCAAATCCCAAAATTAAGTTGGTCATAAATCCAATTAATGAAAGTGTGATTATTTTTAATGTGTTATTGTATTGAACAGTCGAAATAATTTATTTTTGATTAAGGCAACTACCCAATTATTTACACAAACCCCCTAGAAAATATTCACACAAGTGATGCAAGATTTGCAATGAGAAAATTGGCAAACTGTTTTGCTATCGAAATAAAAAATATAGAAAGTTTTCCAATAGTAAATTATTTGGTTTTATTATTTCTTATCACGGAAAGAAAGTTGAATTTTACTGAAGGGTTGACTCACCGTATTTCCCGTGAGCTCCGTTCGACCCTTCGCTGGGCTGTGACGCCTTCATCTCGCCCATAACGGAATATATACTGCATTCACCTCTTGAATTAATCAGGCATTGTGACGACATCTATGCATATAATAGACACCGGGATATCATAAACAATGGCGTTGCATTACGAGGTAATTATAATTAGATGAATAATATCAATTGGTCAATGATTGAGATCACAATTCCGATGGTTTATTGATTTCCCTTTGTTTTTTCATACTCTCGTAGACAAAATATCTTTGTGAAAGAGGATATCCTGATTTGACCTCATTTAAAACATGAGTCAGAGAGAATATGAAACCAGAAAATGTAAGGTTCATAGTCATATTTTTGGTGTTTTTTATACGTTGCCCCACACTAGGATGTTCTCCTGTATCGTGGGTGGTTTACAAACATACAATTTCCCATACACATGACACCCAGACCCGAAACAACAATTTGTGTATCACACAAAGAACTATTCATTGCGGGAATCGAACCCGCGATGCGTTGCGCGGCACCGGCGTGCCCGGTTGAGGTTTCCGCCCAGTCTTCCCTAGTGGGGTAAAGACCTGATTGATTGTATGTATGTACGTGCTACCTAATAGTAAAATAACATTTTGTCAAACGATCTATTCATATGTGTAGTAGTTTACAAAATTCCATGAACGATTCATTTCCTAAGAACTAATAAGTTTGGGATTCAAGTCTGAGTCAACACCAAATAATCAGCAACAAGGTGGTTAGGGTATTCATATTGAGAATCTATGGTATTGCCAAGCATATCAATTATTGATCAGAATGGAATCCGTCAGGCCAATTAGAAAGTGGAGCTCAGCCTTCAAAAACGAAGGGAAAATTCAATGTAATTTTTTAAGATACTAGTGAATTTATTTCTACAAGGCAGCACTTTTACACGTCAATTTTATCAAGCAAACGATGAGGTCGACATTTCCTAACTGACTACTCTGAGAAGAAATGCCGAAACAAACTCAGAGGTCCGTCTCTTTTAAAGTCCAGACAAATATATATATATAAAAGATTATGTGTGAGAACCGCGCTAGTTCTTTCTGTAGTTTGGCTTTTTGAGGAAAGAACCATAACAGTTTGAGCGAACCCGTTCTGAAGGCAGTAGGCATGTGTCAGTTTACAATCAGCTTAATTAACAGGTGAGGCTGACTGATTCGTAGAACAATATAAACCTAAAGAACATTTGGGTGGGTCGCCCAAATACTCAAACTATCAGAATATGGGTAATTAG